CCCCCCCCCCCCTTAACAACTCGCATTTGCGACGACAACGGAGCTGTTCTCTGTGACAGCAATCGAAGCGACCGTCCTTGCAGACGATATCTACATTCGCAAGCGAGAGGCCCTTGAGGGACTATCCAGACTATATGACCCGGTGTTGATTCTAATGTATGTGTAGAAGCAAGGTGTCATTACAATAGGTCGGACACGGTTACATGGTGCCGTATTCTGAATCCAACTTTCGGATGCGTTTTACATAAACTGTGTATTGCAGAGTGAACACCAGTTCCAGTGGTCGACTACAGAGCCACAAACAAGAGCCTTGCACTCATCAGCTGTTATTAAAAACTCTACCCCCTTATTTGTATCTCCATTCACAGCTCAATCCGAAGTGTCGAATTTTCACTAAAAATCATACGAATGTGACCTTCGGACCGGCCGTAATCTGAAGAACAAATGCCCACGTGTTTGGAGCACTTGACGGGGTTTAGTGGTGTGTCCACTCGTGCAGACAGTGATAAGTAATCTAGAAAATCAATTTATGGCTTTGAAGACGAGATCAACCGTATGTAGCCTCCTGCGTGGCAAGTACATCATGTGCCGCACATGTGCGCATTATTAAATGGTATATTCTAGTACTTTTATATATACTAAGTAAAAAAAAACTTTACAATCTACTACAATCCTCATTAACCTCTCACTTTAGTCTTGTTTGTATGCAATGGGGTATTCTTCTCGTTGACTTCTAGCCAAAATGCTATCGATTGCTGCTCATGCATTTACAGGTCTCAAAGGGTTAAAACAGCCTGTTCTGTTGGAATATTGTTCGTGTTGTTGACGCCGTCAAATTGACGGGATGCAGTACTCACGCAAGCGCCTGTGAGCAATGCGACACTCAAAATCTTGCGCGAGTCTGCTTTGAAATACATGCAGCTTGACTTTTGATGGCGAAGCATATCGCCGATTATAATGCATGTAGCTCCGTCCTCAAGTTATTGAGGCTGACATTGCATTCATGGCAACATGCTAGCGTTAGTAAACGCAAATTCCACCTATTATTCGCTCTAATCAAAATGTCCGGTTTGCCCAAACCAGCTAAAAACTACGGTTGATTGTTGAGTCGTTTAAGTACGAGGAGATACACTCGTTGAGCCGTTCCGAAATAACAGGGAATTTGTATCCGTGTGACTCGTAAAGTGGTACATTTGGCTGGAGCTCCCAGTGTATCCTAATACTTGTTAAAATAAAGATTGTGTCACATAATACCGAGGTTAGAGAAAGCTCGGTAGTTCGTGTCAAAATGGAGAACGTCTACACTCTACTCTCGTGCCTGTCCTTCAGCTTGTGTTTACTCACGACTATAGAAGACGTCCCGTAAACCAGAAACGTACAGTCATTTGTACACCCATAATTTTTCTTCCGTACTCTCATCAGTCCGAAAGCGTACCGTAACCTTAGGTATGCAGTAGTTGCGACACAGATTGTAGGTAAAAACCACTGGATCACTAAAAGAAAGCTCCCCAGCGAAGTCGCCAGGATGAGCCGATCTAAGTGTACGCAATCACGACATCCCTGTATAATAGTGCTGCACTATTAGTAAATCCGGCACAGGGTGTTCCACTATATTCTTCTTCATCAACGGTGTCATCTCAACTCCCAAATACTAACGGCGAAAGTCGCGACGAGACTGACAGTTCCTTGGTCAGCTGGATATATCATGTCGCCTTAATTTTATAGTCTACTTCACTTCTCGAGGTGAGCCTGCTTCTTTCCGCTGCTGCCAATCTTTCTAGAATACAGATATTGGAAAACACTGAAGCTCGACAATATCCTTTCAAAACTTGGTACAGCCTCATTTGAGTGCTTGTTCGGCCTTCCACCTCCATCAAGACGATACGACTCTGTACGGTGTGCTTACAAATTGGAGCAGGTGTATCCATGTTAAGACCTTCACTCATAACAAAAACATATGGTTTTTGTTGAAGTGTTTGCTGCCGTGTTTCGAGCGAGTGGTGGTTTAATTAATAAATCCCTTGAATTAGCGAGCGAGCGTTGCCAAATGGTCTGAATTAATTAACTACTACCAGTCCTACACTCGCCCCACCGACGCGCTAATCCGTTCCTGCTTCCGTCTGTAAGCGTCCACACCGCCCTCTAGTTGATGGACAGACACGATCCCCTTGGACTTTCGGACCTCGAATACGCGTGCTGGAAGTGAAGGGTGCGATTCATCCTTGTCGCCATCGCTATCACTTTCGTTGAGGCGTTTGCCGCCTTGTTCTCGCGTTAGGATGTTGAGGAAATGGATATCGTGCGAAATCAACACAACCGCTCCTTGGTACTTGCGCAGGGCCTCACCAAACACCTGAATAGTGGTCATGTCGAGATGATTCGTTGGCTCATCCAGTAGCAGCACATGGGGTGGATTCGGGAACGTTACCCAGGCTAGACCAACGCGAACAAGTTGGCCACCAGACAACCCTCCCAGCGGCACGGACACAGCAGTCTCACCACTGATGCCAAACTTGTTTAAGTGCGCACGCACCTTGGTTTCAAGTGACGTGGTGCCTCGATTGGAATTTCCATTGTTTGCGAGCAACACCTCGGGCGAGTTTTCTTCCTTACTGATCGACTTCATTAGCAGCTCCAACGCGTTGAGATTGCGAGACTCCAGTCGCTTCAAGTCTTCCACGTGATGCTGCATGAGAGTCCCCAAACGTGCTCCATGGAAATACTGCACCTTACCAGCATCCGGTTTGATAACTCGATTGAGAATCTTCATCAGTGTTGTCTTACCCGCTCCGTTTCGACCGACAAAGACCACCTTTTCACCATACGCCACATTTAACGTTACATTTTTGATAGCGAGAGGAGGTGAGGTGGAGTTTTCTCTTTGGTTGGGTATCTCTGCCGCCGCTTTGTAACTAAACGATACGTTCTCCAGAGAAAGCATAGTGGTTTGTGCGAGCTTTGTGAGGTTCCGAATCTGCGGGGGTGGCGTCGTCAACGCTTCCCAGGCCTTGCTGTTGTACGAAGTTTCGTAAAGTGCAGTGTCTTCTGCACCGTCAAGCAATGTAAAATGGAAGCCTTGCCGGTCGCGGCTCCGTTTAAAGCGGTGGCCCTTGTCGTTGCGCTCGTTTCCAATCCGCTCCATCTTTTTCTTCTTCGCAGCCACAACTTGCTTTTTCTTGTCGTCCTTGCCCTTAGACGCCTGCTGGGTGATACGCGCAACCATCTTGGTCATTTTCTCGGTCTTTCGGTCAAGCTTGTAGCAGTCTCTCGTTGAACAACTTCTTCGTATCCATGGCTTCTTCGTAGGAGTCGTAGTTACCATCAAAATACACGAGCTTTTTGTCTTGCCCGCGCACTAGGATCGTTTCTTCAGCGACCTCATTCAGGAAGAATCTATCGTGGGATACCAGTACGATCGTCAACGTACTGCCCAGCACCTTCTCCATGGAGAGTAGATAGTTCTTTAGCCACAAGATGGACGGCATGTCCAAGTGGTTTGTCGGTTCGTCAAGTAGCAACAAGTCGGGCTCCATGAACAACGCACGTGCCAATAGAATGCGCACCTGCCAACCGCCGCTCAGTGAGGCGAGCTGATCCTCTTGTTTAGCTGTATCAACGCCCACAGTCGACAAAATGCGCCGAGCTCGAGCTTCCATCGATGCTTCATCCAACGCCTTCAGAGTTATTTCGTACTCTTCGATCTTCTCGTTGATCTCGCGCAAGATTACCGCTTCGTTGGCTGCTTGAACGGTCTCATGTTCACTGTCCGACTGCTCTGTAAATCGCAATTGCAACTCAAGATCAGCCACAGTGTGCTCCGCTTCTAGCTGCCGGTGACGGGCATCTTTACCGCGCATTCCGCTGCGCTTGATAGCGATTTTTGTTGTGGTGACCAGCTCCTCCTTGGCCTCCATCATCTTGACCTCGAGTAGCGCGTGCAGTAGCATGGCCTTCTGAGAGGCGAAGATAAAGGGATCTGAGTGTTGGCTCACCGTGGTTGCTCGCTGCAGAATCGCCAACTTCGAGCGCACATCGGATACGCGGGTGTCAGCATCAAGTACAGTCTGTAGTACAGTTCTCTCCATGCTCTCGTCCGAGAACGACGACGTGTCCATTTGGTTGACATAAAGGATTTTGAGTGCCTGGGGCAGTCCTTCAACTAGACCGTCAGCTAATGCCTGCAGCAGTGTTGACTTGCCGATGCCGTTAGGCCCAATCAGGGCGTACTTGGTACCGTAGTTTAGCTTCAGTTGCGTGTCGACGAGCAGCTCAATCGTTTTCTCCGACTTGCTACCGTCAGGTGTGACGATTGATAGCGTGAAATCGTTCAGCAGCACGTTCTTACCGAACGCATCAAACGTAGCCGAGTGGAATCGGCTTTGCTGAGATGTTGCCACAATAGAGGGAGCTGCAAGCGAAGTCTCGTTGCTTGTCCCGTCTACTACATCTTGCTTGGCCTTGTCCCTACTGCTCTCACGCCTTCCTTGTTTAGCTGCCCGCTTGAGTTCACGTTTCTCCTTTCGAGAAAGCACTGGCGCACTGTCGTCCACCTCCATGATCGGGTTTGCTTTAGTATCGGTAGTTGAACCGAAAAGCGCAGTCGGCAACATCTTCAATGTGCTTGATAGCAAGACGCTCGAAAACTGATTGCTGTTCGCGGCATCACTTTTACGATGCAACCAGTTCGATTTTCACAAGTCTTACACGTGAGCCGTTCAGAACAATTCGAGACGTTTCGGTGCGGCCGAAAGTATCATGATGACGAGGTGAAATGGCTCTGACAAATTGGTAATCCCATTGCAAAAACGAGTGAGAGGTATACTGATTTAAGACAACTCGACAATATCTTACATTAACGTAAAACAGTACTGTAAGCAGACTGTAACTAATTTCGGCTTTTTGGCGCCAACAAATCTGCTCGCAATATCGGAAGAGGTCAATGGACACGGCGCGCACTCCGAAGCGCAAGCGACGGCGCCTGGAGTCGGGCGCGTCCCGGCGTGGCGGCAAGAAGGCGTCGTCTTCATCCTCTTCAGCCAGTCGCACGCCCGGATCGGGAGGCAGCGAGTCCAAAATTGTGTGGAAAGACTCGCCTGCAGACAAGCAGATCAAAGTGTCTGGCACAGGCAAAATGGCTGTTCGAAGGGAGATGCAGGGCTTTGTGGGTCGCTTAGCACGTGCCAGTCAACAGTCACCTCCTTCCACTAGCGAAGAGGAGAAGAAACCGGGTCGAGAACGGGTTCGCACGCGTCGGAAGGCGGCGCAGCATGAAGAGGAGAAAGGTGGCAACAATTATTACTATTTAGAGGTGTCATACGACTGACCAGAGGTTGATGCATGTTGCAGCGGCCTCAAGACACTTGATGTTCAGTCCTCCTGAGAGAGGAATCACAACGCAGGGAACACCCAATACAGCCAGGAGGAGACGCTCCACCGAGAGAGGAGACTCACAAGACGAACTTTTCAACGTACTGGACCAGATGGAGCAGAAATATGCCAGTCCCGACGTGACTCTACCTCTAACAAGCCTCACAGCATTGTCTTGTAGGAGACCACAACAGCAGCAATCGCTGCCGCCATCTGCAACTGCTTCTTCTTCGACGGACGACGACGTGAAGATGACGCCGACTCCAACTCCAAGCAACTCATCGACCGGGACACAGTCGCCACGCTCATTACGGACACAGGAAGCAGATAAATCACAGGAAAGGACTAGAAATCAGAAGGTTGTCAAGACTCTGGAAACGAAAAGATCCTTACCAAAACTTATCGAACCTCAGCTCATTACTTCAGCATGCAATCATATAGAAAAAAGAAGTCTGCTTGATTGCATATTAACGTTTAAAACATGAAGCCATTCTAATGTAGCTTACATTAACATTAATATGCTGCAGAGGTCGCACACGTACACTTCCGGTTAACCGTACCCGTCCGGAGTCCCTTGTGGCCAAGGTTCGGATGGCCATAACCAGCTGCGAGGGTCTTTCCGACAACTATGGCAGGCCGAAAATGGCGACTGGTTAACCGAAAACTACGTGTAACATTTCTTAGGCTGAAAAAAATGTTAAAATGTTGTTTCTAGCATATAAATCAACCAATGAAATCATTTCCCGCGTTGCTTTTTAATTGGTAAAAAAAAACAAATGAAATCTACAACATTTCCAATCTGGACCGCAATGGAGGAAACCTCTTCCAAGCAGATATGGCCGTTCGGCTGCAAAGGCGAAGGCGAAGACGTGCTCACAACCGAGGGCAAAACCTCGCCCACTATCAGCCAACTACTGGAGAGGGCGGAGGTGGACGCTGGGGAGTATTCTTTCGGCGGGCAGACCACACTCCTTCCTGCTATTCCCGGACTTTTCATTGAGGGAATTGGGTCGATCCCTGTGCCGTTGACTGCAGAGAGGAAAGATAAATTACTTGCAATCAGCGAACAAGTAACCAGCAGCTCATGGAAACTTCGAACGAGTCAAGTGACCATGAAAAACCCAAAGTGGGTGGCTGGAATGCGGAAATTGGGTGATAAAGTGGGTGATAGACTGGGGTTCAAGCGGATTAAACTACAGTGCGAGTTGAAGGAGCTGCTTGTATTTGGACCAGGAGAGAAGACTGACAGGCATCAGGAAAACAACGAGGACGGCGTGGTGGCCACGATTGCGGTGCAGCTGCCGTCGGAGCATTCGGGCGGAGAGTTGGTCGTTTACAGAGGACGAGAACTGCAGTTCCGACATGATTTCGGGACAGCAAAGAACGCCGCTGCCTTCTTACCGCATTATGCTGTGTACTTTGCAGACGCTCCACATGCTAGAGAAGAGGTGACGAGTGGGTATCAGCTGATCTTGAAGTACTCACTTACATTACCAAGTGAGATAAAACACTTGAAAGAAGCCAAGGGAGATAAACCATTGAGCGAAGAACTGGCAGAAGTATTGAAGCAGATCGAGCCAGAGGACGAGTGTTTTGCCTTACTGTTGGAGGGTCAGTACAAGGAGGAAGATGTTCGGACTCAAGGTACTGATGCACTTAGCAAAATGGACAAAACGAGATACCGAGCTCTACTGGAAGCCAACAGTTTGATTCCCGAAGACAAGGTGCTAGTGTTTCATATCGCACAACTCTGCCATGCTGTCCAACAATATGACGGTACATTGGGGGCTCACAAAAATCCCAAATGGAAGGCAAAATATGCGTTCTGGCAGGACTACGATCGAAAAGACTTCGTTGTGTGGTATTCTGTTGACGGGAAGAAGTACGGTGACGCCGTTAGAACGATGTACGTCAATGATATCGACGGTCCCAGCGAGGAAGAAGCAGGTGCTCCAACGTTCACGCCAACATTCTTGAACCCTGGCAGACTGACGCTATCAGAGATATGGAAAGCCAACGGTTATAAGCTGTATGATGGCTTCAGTGGTGATCGAATGAAAGGAACGGTTGCTCTCCGATATGCTGTGTTTGCCTGGCCTGCAACAAAGAATATGGATTACACTTTCAAGTTCGCCAACAACGAGGCAGCGGCCGCTGTTCTCCAAGGCCAAGAGTGCGTTGATGCAAACAGTCTGCGTAAATTTATGGAAAGAGCTAGCGAAGAGGCAGCAAAAAAGAAGCGACTCGGATCATCTCGCCGGTATAATCGCGAGGATCCCAAGCTTAACACGTTGAGCTTTTGCCAAATGATGACCGATTTGATAGTGAAGGCTGGTGACGCAACTTTGGTTGGCCTATTGTTGGAAAAATTTGTCATTGGAGTGGACAAGAAAATCATGTTCGCTGACGGTATTGCATCGCTAACCCAGGCTTTCGAGTGGGCAAGCGTCAAAGATGCTGTACTGAACGCTCTGAATACGTCGAAAGTGAAGTACAGCTACAGCTGGGAAGCAGATGAGAGTATTCAGTTGATTTTACAAGTGCTAAAACGTCTGAAACGTGGCGAAGCCCAGACAGCACTACTAGAAGAGGCAGTGAAAAAGGCCATCAACTTCCCTCCAAAAATACTAGTGAAGGCGCGGTGCCGGAGCCTGCTCATCAAATTGACCATCGAGTATGGTGATGTGGTGATTCTCACTCGTCTGGTGGACCATTTCAAAACAATCAAGCCAAACGACTTAAATACTGTCATCAAGGCGGTCTCGGAACATGCTACAGATTTGAATCCAAACGATGAAAAATTCGCAGTTTTAGCGTCGATTGTCGAGCCGCGTTTGGAGTGGCTGAACCAACAACTGGACAAGCTCGACAAACCGTTTTCATGGGAAATGCCTGATGCGATTTTCGTTGACAAGGCGCGCGTCCAAGCCTTTCTCCGAGGTCCTGAGATTGTGATGACAACTCGAGGTCTGGTTTACTTTAGAGACTTGCAGCACGCCCAACGGTGGACGCGCCACACTCAAGAGAACGCGTCGTTTGAGCTGACAGCGGAAGGAAGTGGTCATGACGCGTTTGTTACGATTACCAAAGCAAGACCCGTCATCTTTACGAGAAACAACAAGCACACGTGACAAAGCTGAAGGAGGAAAAAGAACTGTTGCTCACAAATCGATTCAAAGATTTAGCGGACAACAGAGGTAAGAAACGCCATCGTGAAGAAGATGAAGTTCAAGATGGAGATGCTACCATGGAATAATCCGTGCTCCTACGGAGAAGTTCATTCACGACACTATTGAGAAGTGCGATTTCTATTAAGGTCTGTCTGTGATCGTTCGATGGGACAAAAAGTGGTAGTTTTCACGCCACTTTGGAAAAAAAAATCTTCTGTTTTTCATTAAAGGGAATTTCCCAGTAATTGCAAGCATAAGTGTCGACATTTGATTGATGTTTTGAGCCAACCCGATGGATCGTTTTTCTGATGAAGTTACCACGGTTGGATTGTTCTCGTTTCTTGGAATCGCACTTTGACAGACACTGATCACCCAAAAATTTCCAAGCCTCATTTGTCATTTTTCATTTTCGTGGATACCCCTCACGCATTTAGTGATGATGAACTTCGGCATGGAGTCCCTACTACGCAAGGCCGCGTCAGCTGGCCCTCCACAACGCGAGCAAGAGAAGGATTTTGAGAAAGGAAAATGGCCTTTCGGCAGTCAAGGTACACCCGATACTGTGC